CAAATCAACCTTTTTGGAATTTTTNTCTTTTGTCTTGTCTGTCTGTATGTTTGCACGCACATCACTCGAAAACTAATGCATGGAATTGAATGCAGTTTTCACCGATGTATTGCTAGGGGCCTATCTTAAAATATAAAAATAAAAGAAATTAGAGAGATGCCACCTGTTTGAAAGTTGCAGGTTAAGTAAATCGATAAGAAAAAGTGAATGGTGCGATTTTGGAAAGAGGTTTAAGAAGCCTTACCACCTTTGAGAGTTCCCTCCTGTTTTAAAATTTGAATTAAATTAAATTTATAAGATAAATTGAATATTGTAATACGGGTATCAAACTGAAGAGGTTTAGGGAATTTTACTGCCGAAAATATTTTTGGAGGAGGGTTGCCATCTGTTTGAAAAATGTTATTGAATTAAATTGATCAAATAAATGAAAGCTATGTATATCTATGTGGGAAATGATGTACACGACTATCGACACATCTACAGGTACAACTATGACAGTAGGTAACCGGACTAACGGTGATCGACAAATGCAACACTGACAAGAATAAAACGAACCGCACTGAACATACCGAATGATAGACTTGACAAGACAGTCGAAAGACAGGAATAATTTAGAACATTTGTAACCGCCATCAAGCGAAGTCGCCAGCTTATAGAAATAATAACTCTGTAACTCTGTGCGTGTGAAAATAAACGTGTAACATTCAAAACAAGTTTGTCTAAGCGTTGTACAAGTTGCCCAGTGGGAATTAGGAGCACGTAATAATACCTTATTACCAACTTACTCTTCACCCGGCAGTCATTACCATTTCCCTGTCGAACGTCCCTTACTTTTACAAAGGCATGGCCGCCTTATGTAAGTAGAAATTTAGAATGTACACTCTTCTAAGCCGCTTTACCAAATAAGGTACGAAATATGTACATCAATCTCTCGGAGTAGTTCGGTTTCCCATTCAAACGTATTTTATATCATTTAGGGACATTTAAGTATGAAAATGTAAGGCATTCATAATGTGCAATTTCCATGCATTAAATAAATCAGTTTGGCACCCAAAGGGCCTAACACGTAGCGGAAAAGGTAAGCAGTACTTACTTCATAGCTTACGAAATAATGCACAAATAGAACGCATTACTAACCCAGGTCGTCGGAGTTTCCGATGTATTTTTGTGCGCTAAACACGGTTCTGGGGCCAAAAGGTGCCCATAACGTCATGGTTTTGAGAAAAGTGGGGGTAAGAACAAAAAAACGTGTTTTGGGTGTTTTAACATGATGATGTGTATAAAAGTTAAAATAATAAAGTTTTTTGTAAAAAAATATAATTAAATAAATTAAAATCAATTCTTTTGTGATTATTTGCCATTAAGCATATAGATAACTTCCGTAAAAATAAAAGAAATGTTTTCGTTTTTAATTTATTTATTATAATTATGTAGGAACGGTTTATTTAATAAGTAAATCGCCCCAATATGCCAGTTCGAGGGCGAGTTTAATTTCAAATAATTACACAGTGCACAAAAAAATCACGAAATAAAACTTAGTGTAGGTTGTAGGTAGGGTGGAGTAGAACAATTAAAATTTTATGTGTACTCGACCCTAGTCACAACTAAAATAAGTTTTGTTTCGGGTGTATTTCAGCTTCTTTTGTAGTACTGTGTAATAAAGTTCTCTTTTGCCTATGAGGCATCTTAATATTAAAATAAATAGGAATTGATAATAGTTTTAAGGGTTTCAAGTAAATATATAGTATTTCAGTGTCAGGCAAGTATTAATTTAGGTAAAAGTTAAATATTTCACACTTAAGTGTGGACAGTATTTAAAGGATTAATTTGGAGTATTATAATTTTAGTAGAGTAGCAGATAATAAATGAATAATAAAAATGTGCATACGGATTATTCAATCCGTTGTAATGATTTTTTTTTCCTTTCAATACATGCGTTTTTGTAAAAGACGTTTTTACAGTTTTTAAAAGCAGTTCTTATATCGCGTACATATTCCTTCTCTGTGTAACCATCCTTTTTAAGCGCTTCTGCAAAGAAATATGTTGATTAGTTATAAATTTCAATAAAAATTAACTGTATTTTACCAAATATCGCATTATTGAAGCACTTGTATTCCTTAAATGAAATTTTGTTATTGACGCCATCATAATTCATCATTAGGATGACTTTTCTGTCAATCAAACGTGCGATGTTTTTTGCTAAACCTTCAGGTGCAATAAGGGTTTTAATTACGGTAATCTGCAATTATATTAGGAACTATATAGATAATGCACAAGTTATAATTCAGAAATAAAACGTACATAATGCTCTGAATTCTCGCTGCATGTAGATTCAATTTCCTTCATCTCGTTAATGCTAGGTATTGAGAATGATCTTTTCAGCTTGTTATCTGGAACATTTTTTTTAAATTTGTTCCAGGATTGCGTACATTTTACTTGTTGCAGTCAAATTGCTTTCTGTAAAATAAAGAGAAAACATTAAGTTATGTAGTTACAAAAAGTTTTATTACATCGATGGTCCTCTGCAACAACGACACAATTCAAAAAATAAAAATCCTTACTTTGTCTACTTCATTTCTAATCCTTACTACTTACTTTAGCAATCATTGCTTCTTACTTTAGTAAGGATTTGGCATGGATTAGACAAGGGTTAGAGGCATGAGCCACTTAACAGTCGTAAGGGGTTTTCTTTTTTAATTTTGAATTGTGTCGTTATTGCAGAGGACCATCGATATATCGAGCCGTAACCGCCAAAAAACGTATGCGGCATTTTTTTCAAAATGTTTTCTTTTATCCAGAAATACTTCTAGAACATCTAGATATATTTCTGCATCAAAAAGACAATTTTTTAAAAATGTCGCTTACTTTTTTCACTGTCGTATCCCGATATAATGTTATGTATATGTGTTATATTAACTTTAACACATAAGCTCTACGTTTTCCAATTTCTGCAAAATTTGGTTTTGATTATCCAACAACTTATGTTGGTTACTTTCCAAAAGAGTTATTCGGTGCTCCAAATTTGTGTTTGCTGAAAAATTAGAAAGGGGTTGTGCTTAAGTAATTAGGATAGTCATTTTTTTAAATACATTAAATATTATTTTTATTTTAAATTAATTTAATGTATTTTATTACATTTTCACTTTCTTATATTTGTTTATTTATAATATTTTAATATAATGGGGCATATAAATATTCAAAAGTAAATTGGTACTTAGACTTATGGCGTTTTCTTTTCTCGAAAAAAAATGTCACCTTCTTATATGGCAACACACACCCATTCAAAATTGTTAGGGGATTCACAAGGCGTGTTAAGCATTGTAATATATTAAGCCTTCAAATTTGTCTATGTAGTATAACAATTAAAATGGTTATAGAGGGTTTGCAACTACACAGAAATGTTTTTAGGTTTTCAGAAAATAGGTAGATAATTATCTCTTATCATACACAGAGAATAAACAAATTTTAAAGATATTACTTTGATTAACGCCAAAAAGCTACAACTGACTTTAAGTACCAACTTATTTTTGAATATAAATTCATATTTGGACATATGTATATTAGGGAGGTCCACACAAAAATTACGTGAACGATTATTATCAGTCCCACCGGCTGAATTGGTAATACCACGGCCGAAGATATCATATATTAATTTTGGTCGCGAATGGAGATTTTAAGTTCTCATTTTCGTTGTTGGTGTTTCCGACAGATTTTGAGTCTTCATCTAACCACTAATCACTAATCGGGACCAACATTTTTATGTGATATCTTTGACTATAGTAGTATCGACGTAGGGGTTGAGGTTTAAGAAATCGGATGTAAAAATACTCTTCCTATATTTATGGACCACCCTAATGTATGTACAAATGTAACTACGTAACAGCAAACTCGCTTGCAACGTTGTATGAATTCATTTTGGTGATTTATATTTGTTTTATATTGTGAAATCTCAATTTTTTTTAATATTTATTTGTTTGGCGTTAGAAGTTAGTTAAAATTGAGAATGAATGATAGGAATTAGCAAATATTTGTTATCATAGGGTAAGCATACTAATTTAAATAACACTTTTACCATATGGAAGGATTCTTCTATTTGGTCAAAATTAATTTTTGCTATAACTATACCAAGATCATTGCCTGAATTTACTGGACTTGTAAAAAAATGTTCCATATCTTCGAATCTGCGCCCTACAATGTATTTTTCACCTTCTTTCTTTACGAAATTCGTGACAAAAATTGGAATGAAAGGCTCCACGCAGCATACGTTATGAGGCGTTTTAATACTTAACATAAAGTTCTTTCCAAAAATATTTAGTTATAACACCGTCTTTTTTTTCTTTGAAAGCCAAAGCATACTTCTCGCATTTATTGGAATAAAAGATGTTTAACTGNCGTTATGAGGCGTTTTAATACTTAACATAAAGTTCTTTCCAAAAATATTTCTTTGAAAGCCAAAGCATACTTCTCGCATTTATTGGAATAAAAGATGTTTAACTATTGTAAAATCTTTGATGGTTTTCTTATTCTTCCTTTTATTTCCTGTAACTTATTCTCAAATTTGTATGCAGAAAACTCTTCTATATGTCCGATTTCACGAACGCATTGTGATATATGAAGCATATTGTGACTGTTATATGACAAAGAGTCTGGTGGATACAAATTTGAGTAGCCTTCAACAAAATCTTTGAGCATAAGCTCAGCTGTATTCAAATTACTTATAAATTTTTTGGACATTAAAAGCCTGTATGCGCAGTGGAATAATAGAAAGTGATAGTAATAATTATCTGGTAAAATATTTTTTAACACCAATGGCCCAGTGTACAAAATAAATTGCCTGAATTCTACTGCTTTCCATCTTTTTAATTCTTCAAGTCCTCTGGGCTTCCGTGCAAAATCTGCTGGCATAAAACGAGCTAGCAACCCTAAATTTAATTTTCATTTATTTTGGTTATATCTGTAGAAGTGATTTTAAACATATTTGTTTTTTTATTCACAATAAAATTTAATATTTTTCCACACACTCCTAAATCTAACAAATGCATCGGGTCGATGGGGAATTGTGAAACCATTTTTATATTTATATCCTATAATATACATTTGGTATGCCTAAAATAGTCTTTATGATGATTTGGATCTGCTCTTGTATAAAAATCAGTATCCGTCCTCAACGGCCCACACTCTTTCGAAAACGTAGTTGTGTGGTTAATCCGCTTTCCAGCTTGAACGCATTTTGAGCAACCACTAAATGCGTTATGCCCTACGACACCGCAAAGGAATGTCCTTGCCGGTGCGTCGCACACAAATGCTCGCAGTTTAATTTTAAAAACTTTGTTATTAATTTCCAATCCATAAGTGCTTAGTTCTTTAAATTCATCTGCAAAATCGTGCAAAAAGTTATTCACATTCGCAGGTTTTTCATTCCCTAAATATGCGCCAATGAGAAAAACAAAGCCATTTCCCAAATTGACAACATGACCAAGAATAGGCCATAAATTTTTGCGAGAGCTCTTGAAGAGGGGTAAACCATCAACCCCTACATCAAGCACAATTTCTTCCACAGCACTAACTCTTTCCGAAATTGATAACAAATAAGATTTTATGCCTAAGTGGAAGTATTCTCCAGGGCAAACAGTTCTAATTATAGTTTTGTTTCAACTTTTTATAATAGATTTTGGGACAGGGAACTTCTATTTTTTCTGACCTTAGTATATTTAAGTAGTCATCGAAAGCGGATCTAGTTGGGTGATGCTTTTTATAAAAATCAACTAATTTTTCTCTAATTGATTTATTACTAAGACTTTTTGTGATACTGTATGCTTCAGTTAAATTTTCATTATCATTATTGTTAATAGGAGGCGGAAGATTTGTTATAACCAGGGAACGGATTTTATGAAAATTGCCTTTTTTTCTGCTAAAGAGATAGAGTATATTCGATTAAGAATGTCCACGATTTAGCTTTCCCTGATTCCATATATACACATTTGATGTTGCCTTTTTTATGATATTTGCCTTTTTTAAGATATTTGCCTTTTTTTGCCTTTTCTACCTTTTAAAAAGTACATTTAGTACATTCAAGGCTTTTCTTCGCGAAAATCGAATGAAAATTCTGCCAGAAAACTACAAAATGCATCTTGTGGTTCAATGTTACTACAACTATACAGATTAAAGTTTTATGAGTTAGAAACTCGAAAGGCTAAAATAGTCAAAGATTCAAAGTACAAATTTTTCAGATAATGAAACTAGTTCATAGCTTTTCTCTTTTTACTTGTATGAGGTGGGTTTTGTCGAAGGCTGAGGTATGGTCAGCCGCTCCAGAGTTCAGCGAAGGTCCCACTAACCCACACACACACACGCGGCTATCTAGAAGGCCGGCAACTTGTCGTGCAGGGGAGAGCGGAAGGTAAAGGGCGAGAGTCGGCAGTCGGTGTCGGAGATTATCCGGCGGGTAATTGTACGGTGACGGGAGTGTTACTAGTGACAGCGAGATTAGCAGTGGTTCGTGTCAGTCGTAGCGAAGAGCGTGGCGATGAGAGCAGTCGCGGTGGTTGTGACGGCGACGGCAGCCTGCAGTTCCCTTGCAGTGGTGGTGGCGGCCTCAGCGGTGACGTTGGCAGTGGCCCATATAATGATGAGGGCGGCAGCGACCTCCCGCAGTGGTGTTGTATGCAGCCCCGATTGTGGCGAAGGGTAAATGCGGCCCCTTTTAATTACGACGGTAACAGCGGTACTGGGCGGTGATGGTAGTGGCGATTACCGTACTCGTGACGGGCAGTAGTGGTCGGCCTGGGGCGACGATAATGGCGGCGGCCCCAGTAATGAAGACAGTAGCAGCGGGCCCTGATGGTGGCAATGGTGACAGCGGCCCTGGTTGGCGATAGTTAGCGTTCGCGGTCCTCGGTGATGATGGCGGGCGGCCCACGGTTGTAGCTTCGGCCTTGGGGCGGCAGTGGTAATAGCGGCCCCGGTGATGAGAGCAGCGGTACGGGCCCTAGCGGTGATGATGATGATAGCGGCGGCCCTGGATGGCAGTGGATAGCGGGCGGTCCTCGATAGAATTGTCAGCCTTGGGGCGGCAGTAATAGTAGCGGCCCCCTGTGATTAGAGCGGCGGCCCTGGATGGCAGTGAATAGCGGGCGGTCCTCGATGGAATTGTCGGCCTTAGGGCGGCAGTAATAGTAGCGGCCCCCGATGATTAGAGCGGCGGTACGGGCCCTAACGTTGACGATGATGATAGCGGCGGCCCTGGATGGCAGTGGATAGCGGGCGGTCCTCGATAGAACTGTCGGCCTTAGGGCGGTAGCGGTGCTGGCGGTCCAGGTTTATTGATACCTACGGACAACCGATCATTAGTATGTTCCCCCAGGGCATCGAAAGGTTGCCCAGTCCCCCCGTATGTATTCGCGGCCGCTAGGCGCTGTAGGGAGGTGGTTTCCTCCCCTCCAGCGCCCGCTGGCCGCGCGGTATCGCAAGAAGGCAGGGGTGTTCGGAGTTGGGCAAGCCCAAACGGATCTCGCCCCCTGTCTGCTTGAGACCGTGACCAAAAATGGGTCTAGCCCATAATGGTTTTGGGGTGTTGCCTGAGGGGTATTCCTCCCCTTGCAGCACCCCTCAACCAATCAGTCTTCCTCCGAGGAGGAAAGCTAAGAGCGCCCCAAATAGTCCCAAAAGCCCAGGTTGCGCTCCGTGCTTACCTACGGACAACCGATGTTGTCTGAGTTCATGCTGGCAGCTTTAGCTCCGGTTTTGTATGAACCGTTTGAGAAGTGAATGGGCCTATTCCGTGTTATGGTTTTTGTGCAGTGAACTTCTTCCATCTGCTGATGCGCATGAGTATCCAAGTTTGCTGTTTGCGAAATCTGCTTACCATGCCAGCTTCGCGTATGTTAGTTTGTGTGTACGCCTACCAGTATGTATGTATGTATGTTCGTATATGTGCAGTTGTAAGAC